GCAACAGAAAGGGCCGAATTGATAATTTCAAGGCGTTATTTGGCTTCCGTTTTAAATCGAAGATAGCGCAAAATTTGTAAATAATCTTTATTAGCCAGCTGCTTCTATAATATTAAATGGTGTGGTGTATTTTGGTGATAACTAATGCAAGAGAGAGCGGCTCAATTTAGAACAGACTTAAAAATAAATAAAAAACAGATATAGATTAAAAAACTTATTCGACAATGTAAATACTTGAATGACAACGTATTTGAAAGACTGACCCCGCTGATTATCATAATGTATCAAAATGCGATAAATACGTCATATTGGGTTCAAACCTTATCAATGCTGTCGATTCTATCGTGGAAATTACATACTATTTAGCAAGACCTTTTATACTTATCTGTGTTAGTGATTACTGAACCATGATATTTTTCAGCGCTATTACTACAAGTCTTAAACAAATAAATTATGCCACATGTACACCGAGCAGATGGGAAGGAGACCAGCAATAGCTGGCAAGAACTTGAGACGCGCTAAGTCGTCATCGCCGTCCCTTGCTTGAAACACCACAGCAAAGCGAGTAAACATGGAAGCTATAACACAAAACAATCCACCTGCCTGACGACGGATGAACCATTAGCATCATGGCTACTTCAACAAAAATTTACGTATCAAGGTTATTTGCGATTCGATTGAGAATAGTGGAACATGGCTACAGTTACTTTTATTTCTTTTTTTTTCACAATTGTATATCAGTTTTTATGTAATTAGCGTGTCAAAAAGGCTAATTTTCGTAAAAATATGCAGAATTTCGAACAAACACAGAATGCAAATCATTGGCAGCCAACAATCATAATACGAACGACAACGTATCAAACGTTGCGTCTAGGCAATCTGAATATTTTTTACAGTTATACATAGATATTCCTTCAGCTTTAGAGTGACCATCTTGCCGTGAATACACATTGGAGAAATCTTCAGGGCTCCCAAAAATTTCTCAACTGAAGAGCGAAACACTGTAGAAAAATTACCACACCATCCTGTCGTGGGGACACGTTGGACAAGTCTTCAAGAGCTCCCATGAATCTCAGACGAAAAAAAAAAAACAGGATGCGTATGACAACCACCCGTATCGACACCTTCACAGGCAATCTGAATACGTTGAAAACCAATATTTTACTCAGCTTTTAGACAGTCAGCATACTTTGACACCGACACCTAACGCGGCGTCTAGGCTGTCAGCATACTTAGTCAGCATACGCAGGACGGAGGCACCCAACACGGCGCCCTGGGAACGGCCCATTAGCTTAATGTGTACGAGAGGGCGGCATGTGGTGAGCGGTGCTACGGCGGGGCATTGCTGGCGCAGTTACACAACAATGATAAACTGTCTATGGTTGCGTCGAGCCACGGGTGTGAACAGCGATACTCGTCCTTCGGGCAACTGGCATTGAAACAACGTTGTTAGCGATTTGATTTCGTTGAAACAAAGCTTAACCAACGTTATTTCAACATCAGATGCCTGGTGGGAGATTTATATATTGCAACTGCTAGCCTGAAGTATTGCATAAAAATCAATGCCAGGTAACTTTCTAGCATTACAACAACGTTGTTAGCGATTTGATTTCTTCGAAACAAAGTTTAACCATGCAACGTTATTTCAACATCAGATGCCTGGTGGGAGATGAATATATTGCAATTGCTAGCCTGAAGTATTGCATAAAAATAAATGCCAGGTAACTTTCTCTAGTGAGGCCGTAGGCCGAAGTTCAGTAAGAAAGTGGTGACAGGACAGGAAAATGAGAATTAAAAAGCAGAAAAGAGGCCAAGTAAATTCAAAATATCTGTAATGAAAACGTTCCGGAGACGACACGTGCGCTGTGACTGTGTCTGAAAGTGATTTAAAGGTACTTATTTTCCACCCGTGGGGTTCGAATTTTAGGATTTCGGAATCGGTGCAGAATTTTAAACGAAAAACTTGAATCAATATCGTGTTAAGTTTTAATCCTTTTGAAATTTTAAATCATTATGTTTCTTTATGTTTTGGTCTTCGTTTTCTCTTTAGTTAGATTTAATCTTTTTTGTGTATGGATTGTCTTTCTCTATTGATTGTGCTTGTATTCTACGAATTAATGAACTAATATGGAAGATTTTTCTTGGAAGATATGATGAAATTACTTGATGTCTTCTTCACCTATAAATTCTTGGTGCACCTGCGATTTAAGCAACTAATGATATACGTAGGAAAATGAGACAATTCTCATTAAAATGAGCTTGCTTGTCCTAACTAAAAACAAGTGAATTCTTTCAGTGTTTCCTGATGATTAACTCAGCTCAGGGTCAAGATAAATATGAATAAATTTTTGTACATTATCTGCCAATAATAGTAAAAGTACTAAATTAATATAATTACTTTTAAGTTTTTCATCCCTCAACTATTTTAAACTAAAGTGCGTTAATTATAAAGAGGTCCGGACAAACCAATGTATTTAGTACAGAACTTCCGTTAAAGTCAGGTTTTAAATTCGAAAAAAACTGACTTTCTCATTGAATATAATTATATATATATATAATTACCCTGTATATATATATATACACTTATACTCAAATTTCAAACCTAGATCTCACTCTACCCTCAAATTTGTGAGGATTCCACTAGAAAAGAAAATAAATTAAGTTTTATTTCCTGGTAATATTCCAAATGAATATTTTTTGGATACGCGTCTTATGAGCTCCTACATATTTCCGGCTCTAGTTTTCGTAGATATGAACAAACAAAATTTACGATAAATTCTTAAAAAGAAAGATTCCGAAAAAATAATGTATCGATGAGGCGAAATTGCTTATTTTGTAGTTATATTATTCTCCTCCACCAGCATACTATGGACACAATACACCCTCCTCGTCCAGCCCTACATAAAATGGTGGGCAGAAGTGGGTACCCGCACCTCTGTTATAGTAAGCGACAGTATACGGGCAGCTACAGTATACGGGCAGCTACAGTATACGGGCAGCTACAGTATACGGGCAGCTACAGTATACGGGCAGCTACAGTATACGGGC